CAGGCTAGATCTATTGCAGCCAGTGGCCCCGAACCGGCCGAACCCCGAGTCCCCAGCGCACCGAGCTGATGCTAGATGTGAATACCACTCTGGAGCAGTGGGACACAGCACAGAGAACTGTTGGACCCTCAAAAGGGCAGTTGAAGATTTGATTGAAGTTGAAAGAATTGTTTTTCACGATGAAGAAGCCCTTGATGTGATGAACAATCTCTTGCCTGCACACAACAGCGGGCTAATAGTCGGAATGATTTGTGAAGATGAGGAATTTGATCCGGCATTGCAACCATAGCCGAGACAGAAGAAAAGCTAAAAAATGGTCGCCAAGCATGAAATTTTCCCATCAGATGGGAGTCTCGGTAGCCAGTCTTGCTATCCTTTCTGCGTCCGGATTATCTCAGGGTGTGGTTCGGATGTTTTACTTTATTGTCTTACTTTCCGATGTAAACCCTTCTATCTTCAAAAAAATTGAAAAAAATATCAAAAAATCAAAAATCAAATGAAATTAATATTTCATTGTCCAGGAATGTATCTTTTCTTAATCTTGTCATTTTTCTTTCTTATTCTCTTTCTAGTTCTGTTAAATGCAGATTTCAATAACATGACATGCTTGCGGACTTCATGTCCAGATCCTAAAAGCTGTCAGACCTAGAAATAATGAATCAAGGATTAGATCGTAATGAAGACAAAGTTTAAGGAAATAAAACAAAGAGTTGGAACAACTAAAGGAAAATTGGTTCCCGGATTGGAAAGATCCATACATAGCAACAAGAGTACTGCCAAAAGAGTGTGTTGTACTTGGGACACATCGAAGGAAATGTCCCTGAAATAACTGTCAATGCAAATGCAGTCAAAAGGTACTATGTTGGATCCTCCATATAGTTCTAATATGCTCCGGTTGGGATGACGAAGGCTTTCATTCTCGCTACTCAAACACTATCAACCCTTTGCAAACCCTTTGAGCCAGCTCCCATTCTTTGATTACCCTCTTCGGGACCTGAAAGTGTTATTGAAAAATGAAATGAAAAAAAAAGAAAAAAAAAAGAAGAAAAAAAATATATAAAAAAAGAGGAAGAAAAGACAAAGAAAATGAAATGAAAAAAAGAGAGATGAAAAAGGAAAGGAAAAATAAGGAAAACAAAACAGAAAAAAAAATCAAAAACAAAGTTCCATGAACTACGTTTGACTTGATTCCGAAAGGATACGTAGGCAACCTCTCTCTCTCTCTGGGGTTCAGTCATACCAAAATAAAAATTCAAATTCCCCCAAAAGTGAAACTAGGGCATACGTTATAATGGTCCGGCGATGGTTTCGTCCGAAAGGTTCCAAAGTTGTAACTCAATCCAAATCCTTTTTACCCAAACCCTATTCAAGTCCTTCTGATCAATCGGCAAAGAGGTTCAAAATGCGAGGATACAGTTATTTGGATCTGATACATCAAAATGAGAGAAATAAAATAAAAGAGTCTTATTTGTGAAAACCCACACGGGCACTGTAAGGCGATGGTAAGCAGAGAATTGAAAACGAGAGAGTCTTATTAGTGAAAACTCGCAAGAGCACTACAAGGTGATGGTGAGAAGAGAAATGAGAGAGGTCGGCTCGTGAAAATCCGCAAAGGGCACCACTGATCGAAAAAGAGGATCTTCAGTCACTGACATTGACGCAGTCCTGGGCAAGGTTTCTCGGTTTCGAGGCAAAAGCTGTGATGATTTTCTGAGAGTCAGACGGTTTGCACGAATCAGGTATCCAGTCCAAAGGGCATGTCATGTTCATTGAAGTCCGCATGTACTCCAGATAAGTCCTTCTTTCCTTTCCCCGAAAGGGACACTTCTTGTTTTAAACTCATTCTTCATTCCCTTATTTGTTTTCTTTGAATCCCTTTTGGTCTAACTCTGTTCCGAAACTAAGACAAAGAAAGGATGGTAAGACTGATTTATAGGGTTCTCATTTGATACAAGCGAATATGCAAAAAGGCACCCAGCCTCGTCGGGGAATCAAGTCAACCTCGACTGGCCATGGCGGCTGACGTTTTGAAATTGAAAACTCCTGAAAAGAAAGGAAATCAAAGTCAAATGCCCAAAAAGGCAAAATGAAGTTGGAAAAGATTAAGTCCCGCATGGCTAATTGTCTCGGCAAAAGTTTGAAAAGCCAAGGTACCCCAAATGCTCTGAAATTGAAGTTGGAAGAAAGAAGCCAGAAATAAAAGGCCTATAAAGGTGAAACAAGGTTGGAAAAGGTTAAGTCCCACGCGACTAGTCGTTGCGCCAATGTTTGAGGAGCCAAAACTTCCCTAATGCTCCGAAGTTAAAAAAAAGAAAAGAGAGAAAAAAAGGAAGTCAGAAAGGAAAGGCATACGAAGGCAAAATAAAGTCGAAAAGGTTTGGTTCCACCAACCAACCATCATGGCAAAGTCTGAAAAAAACAAAAGTTCTCCAGGGCCTGAAATGAAATCGGTCCTCAGGGAATAAGCAGTTGTAGTTGAGATCTTCATCGAAGAAGCCAAGCCAAGATCGAGTGATTGAAACAATCAAGGCTACAAAACCAACCACTATTTCAAACTAACAATTATTCTTTGTTTGAAAATAGGAAATAGGTGCAATCCAAAGCAACGTTGCAAGAAGCAGGTGCAACCAAACAGAAACTGCGCAAGGGATAGAAACAGCTTTGCAACAAAAATCAATCCAAAAGGGAAGCCTCCTCTAAATTCTTTCCCGATTTTTACTTATCTTCTTAAATAAAACAAAAAAATGAAATGAAACGAAGGAGAAGAAAAATTCAAAATCATGGTAGCATAGGGTCTCCAATCTCTAGCTACGTCCTTTCCAACATAGGGTCTCATTCCCTAGTCAATGCCACCATAACTTGGTAATCGTTTCCTACATAGGGTCCCATTCCCTAGTCACTGCCAGCATAACCTAGTAGTTTTCTTCAGTATAGGGTTCAACTGCATAGTTGATCCCCGGCATAACCTGAAGACCTTTTTCTTTTCTGACATAACCTGATGACTTTCCCGGCATAACCCGTGGACCTCCCCGGCATAACCCGTGGACCTCCCCGGCATAACCCGAGGACCTTTTTCTTTTCCGGCATAACCCGATGATCTTTCTTGGCATAACTCGTGGACCTCCCCAGCATAACCCAAGGACCTTTTTCTTGTCTGGCATAACCCGATAACTTTCCCGTCATAACTCGGAGAGGTCCCCGGCATAACCTAAGGACCTTTTTCTTTTCCGGCATAACCCGTGGACCTCCCTGGCATAACCCAAGGACCTTTTTCTTTTCCGACATAACCCGATGACCTTTCCCGGCATAACCCGTGGACTTCCCCGGCATAACCCGAGGACCTTTCTCTTTTCTGGCATAACCCGATGACTTTCCTAGCATAACCCGTAGACTTCCCCAGCATAACCCGAGGACTTTTTTCTTTTCCGGCATAACCCGATGACTTTCTCAGCATAACCCGTGGACCTCCCCCGCATAACCCAAGGACCTTTTTCTTTTCCGGCATAACCTATGGACCTACCCGGTATAACCCGAGGACTCTTTTCTTTTCTGGCATAACCTGATGGCTTTCCCGGCATAACCCGTGGACCTCCCAGCATAATCCGAGGACATTTTTCTTTTCTAGTATAACCCGATGATCTTCCCCGGCATAACCCGAGGACCTTTTTTTTTCTTTACCGGCATAACCCAATGACTTTCCCGGCATAACCCAAGGACCTTTCCGGCATAACCCGGTCATTTTTCCAGTATAACCTGGTAATCTTCTCAACTTGGGGCCTTCGATCCTCATTTGATTGCATTTTAAATATAGGGTCTCCAATCCCTAATCTCTTTTTCGCAGGGATACACAATACCAATTTTAATTGCTTTCAATAAAGAAATAGTTTAGATTTTTGTTACAATAACTCACAAAATTTTCCTAGTGAAAACTGGGACAGAAAATTTCGTTCGTTTGTTCGCTTTGGTGCTTGAACAAGTTTTCACCGTGAGGCATAAGGTTTGAGATGACCAAAAGAAGAAGTCTCAACCCAAATAAAAGAAAAGAAGAACAAGAAAAGAAGTTGAACTCTAAGTATTGAAGCGGAGAAAAGATGCGGACTGCTCAAGATATGATTGAAGTCACAAGTTTTGCATGTCGCGCCTTGATCCAAAAAGCTGAAGAAGAATGAACCAGCGGTTGCAGCTAACGAGTATCAAGATTCAGATCAGAGTCTGCAGGAAGAACTAGCAAAGACTCAAGATCAAGCTTCAGAAGATTTATAGATAGGAATCTTGTAACTCGTAGTTGATAGGCTTATCTAGTTTAGCTTTTTAGTTTTTATTTTGGTGTAATAAGGAGCTCAGCAAGCAGAAACAGCAGCAACAACAGTGAAATCACAGTTTCTCGGTAGTCCCAGCTACCAAAACTTTCAGAACTACACTGATTTGATTCCTTTATAACCAAGGATAGGTAGGCAACCTCTGAAGCAAGGTTTGATCAAACACTTTCAAACAATGCTTCTCATGGAGTTTCAATCGGGCAAAAACCCCTCGTGATTGCTCATTTTATCTTTGCCTGAAAACCCTTCGTGTTTACGAGCATAGAGGGGCAGCTGTAAGCATGTGGTGTTTGTCATATACTAAATACTCCTATAAAATCCCAAGAAAATAGATTTTTTGTTAATTTTTTGCCATTTTAGGAATTTTGTAGAATTTTTGTTTAATTGTTAGCATTTTTGTGCATGTTTTAATTTTATTAAATCATGAAAAGTACCAAAAATACCATGCATTGCATTTAGGCTTTATTTTTACATTTTTAGGATTAATTAATTAATTATTTGCTTTACTAAAAATGAAAATCACATAAATTGCTCATTTTACATTTTTACTTTTAATTTTTAGATTATTGATTTTTCTCTTTCGATTTAGGATCAAGTAATTTTTATAATTATTATAATTAGATAATTAGTTAGTTTTACAATTTAGATTAATTTAGGATTTTTAATTAAAGAATAAGAAAAAGAAAAACAAAGGAAAAGGGAATAAAAAAGGTAATTGAAAAAGGGATTTTAATATGAATTTGGGTTAATTCTTTGTACCAAATTGGCCCAATTCTTCCCCAAAGCTAACCCAAATCCAAGCCTAAATTCGAACCAACCCCAACCCAAATACACTTGAACCCATCAGCCCAAAACCCATCCCCTTTCAATTAAAACCTAGACTTATACCTATATAGAGATAAGATTTTAGTCTACATTTGAGATCAGATTCCTAATTCCCTTCACCAAATGGCGCAATACACTCGAGACTTCCTCTTCGTCTTCATTTGTTTTCTCCAAACCAGAGACCTTTAGACCAAAAAACCTCAAGCGTCATTCTTCATCATCACCAAACAGACCTCTCTTCTCCAAACCAAAAACAACGGAACCTCACTCTCTCATTCATTGACACACGCACATGAAAGCTGAGAAGGAATCTTTAATTTTCTTGAAAAATCGAAAAAAACAAGAGAAAGCTTCAAAGTCAGATCTGAGAAAACCAAAAAAAGAGCTCTGAAAAAGGAGAAAATTCTGTTTCTTCATGTTTTTTTTTTAATTTTTATTTCTATTTTTGGGTATCAAAATCATGGTGTTTGCTTGAGGTTGGAGTTGTCTCGTTCGATTTCTGGCTCCGTTATTCGATTTTGTTGTTGCTTCTGCCGAAACTGCTCTGCTGGGTTTCATCTTGAAAGTTGTGCAAGTGATATAGTTTTGAGATTTCACAATTGTTGTCAAAGCTACAAGGTATGTTGCAAAATACATTTGGTGGCAGTCTTTATGTAAGTAACATCCTCGTTTTCAAATCCCATCTCCCAAGTTTAAGTTGTTGTATGAAGTTTGTTAATTATATTTTCTGTTTTAGCTAATTGTGCCAAGTTTCTTGAAAACTTTCAGTTGTTGTGAGTAAATGATGAATATGGTGCTTGTTTATGAGAGTGATCAAGAATTTACTTGATTTATCAATATAAGAAAAGGGCTGAATTTTCTGGTCATAGCTTTATTAGAGATGCAGTATGGAATATAGAGGATACATAAATACATATAAATAAAGGAAAAGGATTGATGAGAAATGGCCGTAGTGACGAAAGATTACAATGAATTCAGCTTCTTCACCCATATGGTTGGTCAAAAATAATTGAATTGGTATTTGGAACTTTGAAAAGCAATCATTGCATAAACAAAAATCTGAATGAATCGCTTGCTGTTTAAAGCATCTTTAGATGACATTGTATAATTTAAGGGGTACGTTATGCTAAATAAGTTGTTATCTATAACAAGATTTTTCTATATATTTTTAACAAAATAAAGACTATGGCCCAACTAACTTCAAGTATGAATTGTTTTTTTTTTTGGAAATGGGAACTGTCATAATTATATGTGATTTTCATTTGGATGTGTTTAATGATTAGCAGCTTCCCCTTTATGAATGGCCAGAATCTGCTCCATTTCCACAAATAAATCTCATAAACTCTTGGACGTAATCTCAAACACTTAGAAAATATTAATTTATAAACACCGTAGTTTGCTTTAGTTGAGTAAAATCTTTTAAAATAAGTGAGGTGTGTCATGCCAAACAAAATTTATAATTCATGGCCCTCGTAATAATAGATTAAGAACTAACACTTATAGAAAAGGTTTGAGGTGTTCAAAAAATAAATTAAATCATCCATGGCCCTCACAAATGTTTCTTTTAAAAATTGAATAATCGTAGTTTGCTTTAAGCTCGATTTAGACTAGTATTGTGATTATGTGTACGTTCGCGTAACATAATTGCAAATTTAATTCTAAAACTAACCCGAGGGATGTGTTCGCGCAACTTCAACCAAACATCTCTTAATAAAATCATCAAAGTGTTATCAATTGTGGACACGTTCGCGTGACATGATTTTGACGCGCCAAAGGAAAAGAGTATACGTACGTGTAACTCAATTCTTTAAAATACGAATAATCAACTGATTAAAAGCGTTAAAAAGGTAAATTAACATATGTTCTAAAATAAGTAATTAGACAATTTAAGCCAAGTAATAATCACTAAGCGACCGTGCTAGAACCACGGAACTCGGGAATGCCTAACACCTTCTCCCGGGTTAACAGAATTCTTTATCTAGAATATCTAATTCGCAGACTTTAAAAATAAAAACTTCCTCGATTTAGGATTTAAAATAAACTGGTGACTTGGGACACCAAATAAACTATTCCAAGTGACGACTCTGATTAATAAAATAATATCATTTCGAATAATGTCACTTTAATTGGAAAACTCCTTTATATACCCTCGGGGTGTAAAAAGGAGGTGTGATAGTTTCCCTCATGAATGTCGAAACCCAGACTTCCCCATCAAAAAGGAAAAAAGGGGCGCGACAACAACCAATAGGCATTGTATCGAAATAAACAAAATATTGCAACAACCTATAGGCATCGTATCTACCCTTTCCCAATAGGATATGTATAAGCAACCCTCCCTTTTACTATTTCCCCAATATATGTTTACAAGAAATTATTATTACAGATCAATATTAATAATGAATTACAGAAGAGAAATTGCTACAACTATAGGGAGCCTGAATATAGGCCCAACAGATAAACCCGGTAGACTAGGCCTTCAACCAGTCCAAAAGTGCCATAATCTCATAGTGCATCCAATAGTACCCTGGTGTGTCAAAGTTCCCAAGGGCCTCAGACCCCGGGCAATGCTCACACCATGAAACCCTCAAAGTAATCCTTTGTGAGCAAGTTTTGGAAAGCCAACTCCAGTGTGTCAAAGTTCAGAGGAGCCTCAGGTATTCCTAAGCAATGCTTACACTAGAGGGTCAAGACCCTAGGTGTTCTCTGAAGCAAAGGTTTCAACAACCAAACAATAAACAGAAACATGGTCACAAAGGTTCAAAGCAAAGATTCCCATTGCCCAGATTTAGCTTAGTTCATTAATTAACATTAGGTGACATATAACATGTTGAGAACAAACAACTACATAGAGAAGGGAGCAGGAGTTGGGAACATAGGAATCCTGAATCGGGAAAACATAAAAAGGGTGAGAAGCATGCTGATTAACACCAAATAACAACCTCATTTCATGGCACCCAATAGGACCTAATGGTGCTGATTAGAAGTGATAAACAGCAAACACATAAGTTTAAAAGGCCAGATTACATAGCACTAGGTAGGGCATAGTAACAGGAGTAATCATGCTGACTTAAAGAAGCAGACATGAAAGACATAGAACTAATTGCAGGAGTAGTCAGGCTGATTAAAAGCAGTAAGCCCTAAATACAGAAGTAATCATGCTAATTGCAACAATAAACATGAAAGCAGAAGTTTAAATATAGAAGTAAACATGTTAATTGAGATCAACAAACAGGAGAAGGCATGGATTTGGCTACACAGAAATAGTCAGGGAATTGAACAGGAAAAGACATAGGTATAGCTTCAATGCGTGTGAAAGGGTATTAAGAGGGGAGACATGCCAATTAAATACAGCAAACAGAAGATGAGAATATGTAGAACTCAATGGTCTAGCCTTAGCTTTCAGTCGCCTAGACAATATAGTAAATACAAGTAGCAGCAAGATGAGAGCAAAGTTTGTGTGTGAGTGAGAATTTCTTTATGAATTGTGTTCGTGTCCTTAGAAGAATCATATTGAGAGTATATATATCACTTAGTGAGGTAAAAACAAATAAGGTAAATAGTGAAGCACAGCTCATAAAATAAGGGTAATCAAATAGTTATAGAATAAATTCATGTAAGGGAGTCCAGAATAGACCCATTAATTAGGGGTAATCACTTAACAACAAAAGAACGGGGCAATTAGGGTAAGGAATCCAAATCATACCAAATAGGGAATCAGTAAGAATCCTCAAATCCATATAGATAACTTATTAAGGTAAGGAAAGTAAAATAAGGTAAATGAAATAATCAAGTAATCAATCAATCTTTACAAGGGACATAAAATCAGGGAATTATTCCCATAAACGACTCGGATTGAGTTTCAAATAAGGCAAGAAGTTGGTTTAATAGCCAGTTAGGGTTAGAGCCCATAAATCAAGCAATCAATCACAGAAATAAGGCAATCATAGGTAATTAGAGACAAATCAAGGGTACGTCTCCCATAATAGGCAAGAGATGCTAATTAGGGATCCCTGGATTAAAGTAAGTGAGTAGAAATCAGTAATGAAACCCTAGATAATTTGGTTAATCAGTCAATTATTCAAATAATAACGGACGAAAATGTTGAAGTTACACAATGAACAGCCAAGCAATCGAACTAGAGACATAACCATGTGAGAAAGATTAAACAAACATAAGGATCTCAAAAAACATTTTTGCAAAAACAGAAGTGGAAACCCTAAAATTTTAGAAATATTTATGGTTGATTAATAGTTGGAAGATTAGGAGATTCTTAAAGAAACAGTCATGGAAACAATCAAGGAAGCTCGAAACTACTTCAAACACAGAGGTTCGACCAACATATAATGAGAAAACCAACCCTAATATAATAAAGTGCTTAAAAATCAGTTAATCAGTAAAGAAATAAGGGAACATTATGGAAAAATCAGTGACGAACTCAATATCGCTCTAGATCTACAAGGATCAGGACAGATTCAAGTCCAAACATTAGGGTTTTTGAAGAAAAAGAAAGGGTAAAGAGAATATGGTCTTGAATCAAAGATTTGGGCCGTAAAACATCGATAGAAAGCACTCACAGACCATAGAGAGATCCTTGAAGAGTTTCGAACAAGATCTGGCTAGATTTCTTCAAGATCCTTCCATGAAATAATAAAATTGGGCAACCAGGAGAAGTAGGAGACCAGTAAGAGCCTCAAACGGCCATGGAAATCCGTGGAATGGGAAGGAATCGAAGACATTAGAGCTAGTTTTGGGTGGCGGCGATTAGAGTTAGAGTTTGGTCTTAGAGAGAATCAGAGGAGAGAGAGAGTTTTAGGGCAGCAGAAATGAAAAGAATGAAGGGGTTTAGGGGGATTGTTTGGGATTAATTATGGTAGGTTTAATTGTGGACCGTTGATCAAAATGATTAACGACCACGATTAAATAGGGCTATTGGGTCGAGGCATGTAGATTGGGTCTAAGGGAGTTTTGGGCTAGTTTTGGGTTAATATTAAGGGGTTTGGGCTGGTTTTAAAAGAGGCCATGTCTGAAAATAAAAGACTATTTATTAAATACCCAAACAATTGATAAAAATATTTTATAAAATAATTAAAAAATTATTTAAAAAATAATTTCCATGCATAGAAATGCTTTAAAATTATTACTCAATATTTTAAAAATACAATGAGCTATTTTCTGGTAAAATAATTAATAATGCATGCATGGGCTATAATTGCAAAGTTATTGCAATTGTAACCCAAAAATGTAAAATGTGGCTATTTTGCAATATTTGAGCCTAATATAAAAATATAAATAGCAATATTAAGCTGTGAAATTGTTATAAAGTCCTTTGTGATTCAATTTGCACTTATTTATATAAAAACAATACTAGGATAAATTGATTAAAAATCCCTAAAAATGTAGAAATTATGGAAAAATACCAATTGATGCCAATGCATAGTTTTGAAGACATACATGCATTAAAAAAATATCATAGTGAAATAATTGGGTATCAACAGCTGTCCCTCTTTACCTGGGAAGGATGAAAGAGTTTTCGGTAAAGAAATAATGGCCAATTTTGACCAATTGGGATGTTTTGAAAAATAGAGGCCAAACCCTGGTCTCTGAGCTGCCTACATATCCCTGGCTTTACAGGATTCAGGCCATGTGTAGTTTTGGACCCACCGGTGAATGAAGACGATGGAGTTGTTATAAGAATGGTGACCAGTTCCCACAAAGAATCTTTTGTGAAGGGTAATGTTTGATGGAGTTATGATTTGAATCTGGAATGCGACGGATGCATTATAGGGAAAATATTTGAATGGTTACAGAGTAAGGTGGGTGATTGATGGGATTTGGTTATAATGGCAAAGTGAAAATGGTATGAGCGGAAACTGGAGTGAAGGCTGCTCCTGTTTGAAGAACAGTTATTTCCTGGATTTCCTGCAAAACTTAAAACGCAATGCATGCGAGTAAAAATTACTGGGAGAATTTAAACGTGAGGAAAATTTCCTTTGGACCATGAAAGATTGTCTTTGGACGGTGCGGATGACGTCCTTAGACTATGATGTCCTAGGCTTTGAATTGTGAGATAGGGGATTCGCATGCCATGAAATGATGTTCTCGGGCCATGAGGATGGTGCCTTTGAACCATGACACCTTTAAATAATGATATGCAAATTGGAGAGATCCTCAGTCCATGGCATGGTGTCTTCCAGCTATGAGAATGATGCCTTTAGGCAATGACACCTTTGGACAAGTTGGCGATGTTTCAGCCCATGAGATGCAATAATATGATTCTAAAATCAACAGGACAAGGCTTAGTCTTGTGAGGTGGAGGGCAGAGCTTAGATCGAAAGAGAAGCAAATAGATAGAGACGGAGAGACATCACTTAGTCTCGGCAAATAAAGGCGATGATTGACCTTATGCAAATATGAGGCAGAGCTTAGCCTCATGCAATATTCGGGACAGGGCTTGGTCTCATGCAGATGGAAGGCAGAGCTTAGCCTTATGCAGATATGGAGGCAGGGCTTAGCCTCATGCAGGTGGAGACAGAGCTTAGTCTCATTCAAGATTTTGAGACAGGCCTTAGCCTCATGCAGGTAGAGACAGAGCTGAGTCTCATGCAAGATTTGGGACAGGGCTTAGTCCCATGCAAATGGAAGGCAGTGCTTAGCCTTATGCATATATAGAGGCAGATCTTAGCCTCATGCAGATTTGAAACAGGGCTTAGTCTTATGCAAAGAGAAGACAGTGCTTAGCCTTATGCAAATGTGGAGGTAGGGCTTAGCCTCATGCAAAATTTGAGACAGGGCTTAATCTTATCCAAAGAGAAGGCAGTGCTTAGCCTTGTGCAGATATGGAGGCAGGGCTTAGCCTCATGCAAAACTTGAGACAGGGCTTAGTCTCATGCAAGGAGAAGGCAATGTGTTTACCGTGAAAATAGTAATAACAATTAAATTTAATTTAGTGGTTCTAAAAATACGTGATCTATTTTTAGGCTAGCTGTTAGGCAGTTGATGCTATGTGAAAGACTTAGAAACGAGATAAGAGCTTGAGAGCAAGGTGATAACTAAACCGAATGATTAACGATCGGGGACTCGAGCTTGCCTATTCAAGGGCCTCGGGGTCAAGTCTGAAGCTCAGCTGAGAGCTATCGAGGGTAATCAATGGGTGACTAACAGGTATAATAAAATCAATGATGGCTCTTTATGGCCAATAATAAGCAATAAATGAAGAACAATAGATAAAACACAATAAATATGGGCAATAAATGGAAGTAATAATATCAAGGGAATATGTTAGAGAGCAGAAAGAATGTTTTTATATATTTAGTATGGAGCAATAGATGTTTACAAAATGACAAGGATCCTCTTTATATATGAGAGGAAATCCCAACATAGTACAAATACATTTATTACAAAGATATGGAGATGGGACAACTAGTTAATGCCATGATGCGAGCTTAGACTAGCCTAACAGACTTTGTCGGCTCTAGCTGCACACTTTGGGAACTCCCCACTTTCTCTACATAACCGTCAGTTCGTACTGCTCCAAGGTCGAGTGTCGATGGCCCTCGAGGGATGAAACTCGACCGTGGTTTCGAGCCTTCGAGATGTCATAGCGATGGAAAAGTGGACCCTCCGATTTTACCGTATACAGATAGTCCCCACATTTCTTAGAGTAGAACGATAAGAAACTATTTTGATATCCATCTCTTTGAATTTCCATGATGATGTCATACTGATGATGCAAGCTTCCATGATAACCGAGACGTCCCGTCATTTCATCTTTCCAGAATCATTCAATGCACTGTCGATTCTTATTCTTCAAAGTGATAATGTCGCCACCGGTTTAGCTCCCAAAAATGCATTGATTGCTTATGCCGGTACGTTTTTCAAATACATTGATGGCACCGTCAGTTACGCTGCCACCCTTTCCATAAATGGGAGCTTCCTCGAATCAATTCTTCATTACAATGTTCTTCAATCAGCCTTTCACTCATTTCTTCTCTCCATCCTCATCCATTGTCATTTCCCATGTCTGAGGCCCGTGGCCTTAAAGCTTCATGGTGGCATTCTCATCAGTTATACCATGGCTTTTTTCTAGGGCTCTTCCTTACTGAGCGAGATTACACCAACCCATTATTGTTGTTGTTGTTGTTGTTCTTACTGCTATCATCATTGGCTCGAAACGAGGAGATAGGGGGTTGATTTCTTCCCACTCAAGAAAATGTTTGGACTTTACACCGCTGCTCAGGAGGGTGTTCGGACTTTACACTACTGCTCACCTCCTCCGACTACCTAGTGCGGTGCCTCACTCCTTCTGCTTTTCGTGGAGTAAGGTGGTATATCTACTAACTGGTGCATCCCCGCACCGGTGTAACGTTTCAATAACTTGCTTCACAATAGTAGTGCTGGCGAAATCCATACTAGCCAGATTTTTCACCCAGCCACTTCTTCATCCCTTTCTGCTTCTCTCGCGTAACTTTTCTCTTCTCTATCACTTTCCACTTCTTCATCTTCGCCGTTGGAGATGTCATTCTAGAGGACCAAGATGAGACCCCCGAGGAGGTAGTGATTGAAGATACTGCCACCGAGAATGCATCCCCGAGGAGATGGTGCTCGAAGATGCTGCCACCGAGGATGTAACCCCGAGAATAAATTAGGCTCTTTGCTTTTACTATATGTATACTTTTGCTTCTTTGTTTTTATGTAAGGACCCCTCGTGGGCTTTTGTAATCAAGTGTTTATGAATATAAAGATGTTTCTTCAATTTGTCTCTGATGTATGCTATATTTCCCTTTATCTACGCTTGTGAAGAATATGAGTTCATGACTCCACCGATTGGCACAAATATCGAGCCCGGGTGTGAGTATTTCTTCTGACTTTTGATTAATTAACACGGCTCCCCACAGAACCCTTTTCTGTTCCTTGGACCGAGCCCAGATTGGACTGATAAACTCGGGTCATCGGGACCCTGACTTCAAGTTGAATAAGAGTAGGGCTTTGAACCTTCCGACCAAGACTTAGCCTTTAGACCTTGTGATAATCTTTGAAGGGGAATTTGCTCAGAAGCCCGAGAATAGAGACTGCCTTTAGGCTTTCGAGAATAGTCCCCGAGTGGGGGTTTTCTCAAACTCGAGCCACCTGGAAACTTGTTTTGAAGTTAGTGTAGATAGCCTTAAGGTGTTGTAGATAGATCCCAGATGAGGGTTTACCCGGGTTTAGATGGTACCCCAAGGCCAAGCCCATATGAGTAAAGTTTAAGCGTTTATTTTCTTCGTGAGAGAAGCCCTCGAGATCGGGTACCATGTCGAGTCTCTTAATGATATCAATGGCCCCTTGGAGCATGTTTTCTTCTCAGTGGGGGTCATCGAGATTGGGTACCATCTCAGGACATATAGTGAGGGCATTGGTATCCTGGAGCCTATTTTCTTTTCGATGGAGGTCCTCGAGATCGGGTACTATCTTGGAACTTGCAATGATGCCAATGGCTTCCTAGAGTCTAACTTCATTTTTATGGAGGTCCTCAAGATCGGGTATTATCTCAGGACTTGCAATGATGTCAATGGCTTCCTGGAGCATAACGTTTTTTTGATGGAGGTCCTCGAGATCGGGTACTATCTCGGGACTTGCAATGATGTCAATGGCTTCCTGGAGCATAACGTTTTTTTGATGGAGGTCCTCAAGATCGGGTACTATCTCGGGACTTGGTTGATGCGGGGGTCTTCGACCCCGAAACATCGTATGGCGACGGTGAGTGTATGATATGGTTATAAAATGACCGAGGCAATTCTGTCGGCATATCTTTCCAAAGCGTTAAAAGCTTTAGCCAATATTTTAATCGGCCTTTGAGGCAGATAGGTGGTCACCTCTTTTCCCATATATGGCGTTGTCTTCGCCCTTTTGGAGATTCCGTTATTTTGAGTAGTTATCCTCTTTCATAGAGTTCTCCTTTCTTGTGCCAATTTTCTTATAACTCAAATTTTTCGCCCAAGTCCTTATTTCTCCTTTTTTATCATAGCCATGGCTACTTCATTAGGGTCCGCTCGGCAAGGAGAAGGGAGCTCCGCCTCTAGGCACTTTGTTTTGGGAGGGAAACTCCCGTCAGAAAAGACTCCCAATGCTCGAGGTTGTTGGGAGTATGCCTCGAAGTTTATTTCTTTAATAGGAGAAAAGCACCTTTAGTTGGTGAGGAAGAATTGTGGATAGGGATAAAAGGTAGCATTGTGGTACCTTGCCTGGAGGAGAGCATCATGGACCATGCCGAGGGATTTTTGAATGTGTACACGTACCACTTTACACTGGGCCGCATTGATGGAGTTGTGCTCAACTTCCGTCGAAAGTACCAGGTTACCTTGGCGTAGATTCACTCATCATTTTGGATAGTATTGATGATGAGGTTCTTTGCAGAAGACGTGGGCCTTGAATTCACTCTCAATCACCTTATCAGGCTGTATCAACCCTTTCATCATTGAGGCCTACTGACCCTGCGATGCCGATCCACCACACCTTTCATTGTTGACGATGAAGAAGATGGAGATTGGGGATGGATGAGCTGATTCGTCCCGATACGTGCTATGTGATTTGCTCTCCCCTTTTTCTCTCAGACGGGTGTTTTTTCTTTCTGCATACTAACTCTATCATCGTAGGCATTGGAGAGTCCCTCAAAACGTGGTCATTCCCTTTAGGAGAGGGAGAAGATTGCCAACTTCCGGGCTAAAGAATGATAACAACAAGCAAGAAATGCCTTTGTAGGGCGATGGTGCTCAAAGAAAGCCTAAACAAGACCGGGGGCTCAGAGAAGATGTATTGACTGAGTTGCTTCACCCCCAATTTCTGGTTTTGGAAAGGCAGTTTCTCCTCTGCTGCTGTCTACTTTATCCGTCGAAGGTACTTCAAGGGATACTAAAAAATCGGGATCGTATACACCGAGAGACCGTATCCCAACCAGGGTCGGCTCTTCTGGGGCTAAGGAAGCCATACTAGCAGATGTGTACTCAACCTTCGAGGAAGCTCAACGGCTTCACTCTGTGGTGAGTTTTGGCAAAGGCCCTTTGAGTTTTGCGCCTTCCCTTTCTATTGAGTTTTCTTTTGCAGGCCTTTGACAAGCTTAAGTCCGAGTTGTTTCACCGTAAGGCCAGGCTGTAGAAGGCTTTAGATGGGGAGAAATCCCTTAGGCTCCTTTGTGACGAAAGGGAATTCGAGTTGGCACGCTTACGGTATGAGGTGAGTCGAAGCTTGAATTATGAGAGCTACCTGAAAGGGCAGGTAGTTTTTGTTCCGAGGGAGTGTGTGTTCCTTCTTCTAGCTCCTGAGGCTCATGATTCATTTATTTCAGTTGTAGAAAAAGATGGAGTACCTGGAGCGCCTTCGGAATGAAGTTGGCCGAGCCAAGCACGAGTATGATGAGTTAAAGGCTCAGGGGGACGCTCAGGCTTCGGTGGAGAAGGGTGCTCTAGCTAAAGCTTCTGCCCTAGAGGTTCAACTTTGCTTAGCTCGTGATAATAGCTTGGTTCGAACAGATATGATTACGAAGCTCGAGTCTGAGCTTTTGAAGATAAAGGATGAGGTTGTGGAGTCCCGGGCTAAAGCTGTAATGAGTCGAACTAAGGCTGACCAGAAAGTGACGGTCTATTTGAAAGACGTTGCCGATGCTCCAGCTAAGCTAAGAAGGACTTGTGAGCGTAAGGGCAGGAGCAAGGAATATGCTCAGCACAAGTCTCGAAGGGAAACCTTTGAGAAGATCCATGCTAGAGGCTTTGACCTCTTGGAAGAGGTGAAGCGAGCGAGGGCGAACGAACGTGGCCCTAAGTCACTTCTGTCTGACACCGAGGATAGTGAGGATGAGGACGATGAGCCATAGTCCCCAAGGGGGAAGTAGATTTCCTTTTCTGATTCTGTACATAGTACTTTCGAAGTATGTTGTAAATGGAGCTTGTATTTTTCTGCATATATGTATAAAAGGAAAGCTTCGCGGTTCGAGCTCTTATGCTTGTGTTCTTAGGTGTGTCTAGTCAACTATTTTGGGTTCAGTCTCTGAGTCGGGTATCAACTTGAGCTTAGTCAGCCCTCAAGTTTTTTGAATTGCAAGCTGGACCTTAGGCTCTTCGTACTGGGTCGGCGCAACCTTTGGTTTTAGCACTAGCGACAGTGGCTATTATTCGTTTGGTCGTTGCAACCTTCGATTTTAGCGCTGGCAATTGTGGCTCTTACGCTTTTGCTCTTAGGCATATTTAGTTAACTATTTTGGGTTCATTCTCCTTATCGGGTTTTGACTCGAGCTCATTCAACCCTTAAGTTTTTGAATTGCAAGTTGGCCCTTAGGCTCTTACGCATTGTGTCGATGTGACCTTTTATGTGGGCTAGCGACAATGGCTCTTACATCTTAGGTCGATGTGACCTTTTATGTGGGCTGGCGATAGTGGCTCTTACGCCTTGGGTCGTGCAACCTCTAATATAAGCTTTATTTTTCCCTCGTTAAGGACTTTTTGAAATAATATTTGCGTAACTCTTTGACGGTTTGATAAAAACCTCAATTGTGAATCATTATATAGCGATGATCGAGCACCTCGGGAGGTTTGTCTCGGTGGCTGAGTATCTCGAAGCTTGTGTTTGGGAGCTGACATGGTCGAAGCTCTTTTGCCTATGTCGAGGGTAGCCTAATTAACCAATTCTTTTCGAAGTATATTCGAAGTAATTAAAGGCCTGTGATTTTATAACGACAGTCGGGCATCCCCGAGTCGCGTTAGTTTGGATGGTACAGCCTTATGACCGTAGTAATTTGTGTTTGGTCGGAGCCTTTCAGTCCCGAATGAAGTAGTTTCGGCATCTATATCGAGATTATGCCTTTTAGAGGTCTTACAAGTTCGATATATAGCCTTAACTTTGAGATCAGGTTTATGCCTTTAGTAAGGTCTTACAAGTTTTACATGCCTTTGAGGTCTTACAGTTTTGGATACTTGGTACAAGTGTGGTTCATGCCTTGCTTGAGGTCTTACAGATATTATTGTTGCCTTATACAGGTCTTACGAGATCGAGGCTTCCTACATATGGTCTTATGGCCTCGAGCTTTGATAAGTTGATGGAGATGGTGATTAACGGCAGTCCCGAGTCATCGGGGATTTCTTGGCTTGAGAGCCATTACTTGTAAAATTGGCATTGCCTTATCGAGGGCTTACGATTTTGGAGTTTCCAACCCGGAGGTCATGTGGCTTGAGTTTTCGACACCAGTCCCCGAGTATTCGGGACGTTTTTGGCTCTGGAGTTGTTTTGTGATCTCGTTGTTGCCTAATTAAGGGCTCACGAGTTTGAAGCTCCGACCTGGGGGTTGTACTGTTCCGAGTTGTTGACGCCAGTCCCTGAGTATTCAGGACGTTTTTTGGCCTTGGGGCCATTTTTTGCAAAAAATGTCGAGCTTCCTTGAAACGCAAAATGCTTTCGGGAAGTATTCTTTGATAACTTAGTACAAGTATACATGCCTTTACTATTAGGGGATCAGTTGTTCTATACGGACATGATTCGTTTAACCGTTTGGTCCGGTACATTATTTTCCTATCGAGACCCCACTTAGCATGTCTAGACTTCTCCGAGTAGGTGACCTTCCGGGGGATGCCCCCCAGTGTTCGAGGTTTATAGCAAAAGAAGCCTTGAATACTTGTTGAATCTTCCTTAGGTAGCATATGGATGTTGCCTCGTTAAAAACCTTGCTGGTAAAACCCTTTTTGGGATAAAAACCCGGTTGAAGGAAAAAAGTGCAACACATGCTTTTGAAACCTAAGGCCTTTGAGTTGGAGAGTGCTTTGGCCGTTTTGATCGGATACCTACACTCAGGCCAGTGTAGAATGTATTTGAAAGAGAAAAGAGACTATCATACCTTAGTGTAGAATGTGTCGGTGATGTTTCGAGCCCTGATATGTTTCAGTGGCTTGTGATGAGAACGCAGTACGGTCCCCTACTTTGTTTAGTCGGGGATAGCCGAAAGTGTAGCTTGTTATCGCTATTTTACTGTTTGCATATCCTTTGGCTCCTTCGAAGGTGGAGGTACCTGTGTCGGGGCCACATCGTGCACCGCGAACATTTCTCTCGCCGCATGATGTTCCTCATAGACGGTCTTAATCCCATCCTTTGTCGGGAATTTCATCATTTGATGGACGGTGGATAGTACTGCTCTCATGCAGTGTATCCATGGCCTTGCGAGCAAGGCGTTGTACCTCATGTCTCCCTTGATGACATGGAATTTGGCATTTTGGGTTGTGCCAGCCACGTTGACTGGGAGGGTGATTTCCCCTTCCGTTGTTCCACTCGCCATGTTGAATCCACTGAGGACTCGAGAGGCGGGTACGATTTGGTCAACTAGTCCGAGCTGTTCTACCACCCTAGACCTGATAATGTTGGCCGAGCTACCTGGATCCACAAGTATATGTTTAATTCGAAATGTATTTACAAGAAAAGAGATTACCAGTGCGTTGTTGTGAGGCTGAGAAAAGGTCTTGATGTCTTCGTCGCTGAATATGAGAGCATCCTCAGGTATGTATCCCCGAGTTCGCTTTTCTCTGGTGATGGATATGTTTGTTCTTCTCATTATGGGCTCATATGGGGCATCGATGCCTCATAAGATCATATGGATGACATATTGTGGCTCATTCGTTTCGTTCTTCTTAGCCACCTCTCTTTCCCGGAACTAATTTTTGGCCTGGTCGCTGAGTAACTCTCGGGGGTGACCTTTACTGAGTAGTCTGGCTACTTCTTCTCGGAGTTGGTGGCAATCCTCGGTCTAATGGACGTGCGTGTTGTGGAATTCACACACTAAGTTATGATTTATTTGCGAAGGATCTGATTGTACAGGCCTGAGCCACCTGGTGTCTCTGATTTTACTGATAGCGAACACGATGTCTGATACATCGACATTGAAGTTGTATTCTGACAAGCAATGTGCCTCCGTTGGCCTTATGTGCCCTATCGAATCCAGCTCTGTTGACGAGTCCCCGAGAATTTTGGCCTCGGTCCATCCTTTGGTCATTGTAGGGTATGTTACGCCTCGGGGCATTTCTCCTGTCATCGGTGTATGGCTGGTACATTTCCTTGTTTGGCTTTGGCTCCTTCGCCAGAAGCATAATTGGGTATACCGAGCTCGATGTGTCTTCTAGTTGGTCGTCCTCAACCCTGATTTTCAATTGATATCGGTTGTGAACGTCCGACCAGATCACGGCAGGATATTTGACTAGATTCTGTTTCAGCTACTTCGAAGCCACTGAGATTCATTCACCTAGACCTTGAGTGAAGGCCTGTACCGCCCAGCCATCGGAGACTGGTGGTAGTTCCATTCGTTCCATTTCAAAGCGAGATACAAACTCTCACAGCATCTCGTTCTCCCTCTGCTTGATCTTGAAGACGTCAGACTTCCTTATTGCTACTTTGATGGCACCAACATGTGCCTTTTGTGAAAGAATCTGCCAGCATGGAAAATGAATCTATGGAGTTAGGAGCTAGGTTGTGATACCACATCATGGCCCCTTTGGAGAGTGTTTCCTCGAACTCTTTTAGCAAGACTGACTCGATCTCGTCGTCATTTAGGTCGTTGCCCTTCACTGCACAAGTGTAAGCAATAACATGCTCGTCGGGGTCTGAGGTTCCATTGTATTTTGGAAGGTCCGACATTCTGAACTTCTTTGGAATTGGTTTTGGAGCCGCTTCTTCTGGGAATGGCCTTTGTATGAACTTCTTTGAATCTACACCTTTCAGTATTAGGGGTGCACCCGAAATTTGGTCAACCCTGGAGTTGTAGGTCTCGACCTTTTTGTCATTGGCTTCTATCTTCTTCTCGCCCAATTCGGTCCTCTTTGTGAGGTCCTCGAGCATCTTTACGATGGTGGAGTCGGTTGCCGACCCGTTGTTGCTTGATCTCTACGGTACCTACTTGGCTGGGGGAACCATTCCCAACGCTACCGTGCTGGGAGTTTTCTGGTGACTTTGCAGCTGAGCGATCGCTAACTGTTGTGCCTGCAACATTTCAAAAATAACGTGAAGGCTAACCTCCCATTCATCCATATTTATAAGGCCTCAAGGCTATCTTTATTTTAAGTTTGAACAAGTTTTCGCTCAATCACGGGCTGCCCGAGTTCGAGCAAACTCTCGCTCGGGGATTATTTGTAAAAGCCTAAGGGCTACCTTTATTTTCAGATGATCGAGCAAACGCCCACCCGGTCGCGAAATCTAAAAGTTGCTTCAGTTTGAGAAACTTACCACTCGAGGTCTACCAGCGAGGCCTAAAAGGCTAGGCTTTATTTCAAAAATCGAGACCCTGCTCTCACTCAATTCGGACCTAGAAGTCCCGACGACCTAAGTTCGCATCAAATCAATCCAGGCTTAGTCTAAGGGATAGCAGAGAGCACCAAGGAATGTCATATTAACCAATTAAAAATCTGAGGGTTTATTATGACTGGGTCTAGTATTCAGACCGATCGACAAAGTCATACACTTGGATTTCTCACAAACGAAGGCAAAATGGAGTTTACACAAGATTAAGGCAAAATAAAGAAACTCTTATATTAATGAAAGATGATTACAAAGCCCGCGAGGGGTCCTTACACATAAATAAAGAAGCAAAAAATAACAGCTAAAATGCCTAATCTACTTTCGAGGGTATATCCTCGGGAGTGACATCTTCGGGAACCTCCTCCGAAGCAGCAATAGATGAAGAAAAGGCTATAGCCTATCTAAGAGCAAAAACTTTTAACAAGCAAGGAAAATTATGGCCTGGTGAATAACTTTGCGAGTATGGGTCTCGTCAGCACTACTATTATGAAGCCACTTCTTGAGATATTGCACCGGTGTAGGATGCAAAAGTTAGTAGATAATGCTCTCACTCCATGGAAAGCAAAAGGAGTGAAGCGTCACACCAGGTTGAAGTTAAGAGAGATGAGCAGCGGTTTACGGTCCACATATCTTCTGATACGGGAAGAATTTGAGACCCTTCTCTCATTATTTCGAGCTAACAACAACGACAACAACAACAACTCAGTGGGAAAAAACTTTGAAAAAGAGTCATGGCATAACTGACAAAGTTGTTACCGTATGACCTTATGGTCACGAGTTTGAACCATAAAAATAGGAGTTTGGAGGAGGATATAGAGAAGGGAAAGGGCTAAAGGCTGTTGAAGAAAGACTGAGTGAAGTCTTGGTTCATGCAATCCCCCATTTATAGAGAAACAATAGCGTAATTGACAGCGCAATCAATGCTTTTAGGGAAACAGATCGGCGACGCAATCAGCGCTTTTTGGAAGGTGAACCAACAGTGCATTCAATATTTTTTGGGAAACGGACCGGCAGTGCGTTCAATGCTTATGAGGGAATGAACCGACGGGACATTTCAATCATTTCGAGTACCTACGTCACCAACGTGGCGTCATCACGAGAGGTTCGAGAAAATCATGGTTAAGATCGTTTCTTATCGTTTCACTCTAAGAAACGCGGAGATTATCTATATATAGTCAAAATTAGGGAGGACCGTTTTAAGGCTCCAGTGGCAATTCAAGCCCGGCCTCGATGGGATCAAATAACAGAGTCCATGGTCCATCCCCGAAGCACTCGCCTCGGCAGGGAACGTCGAAAACTTATCATGGTGTACCCCGAGGGCACGCGATGGGGACTGACAGAGTCTGTAAGAATAGTACAAATTCGTACTGAGCTGCTATACAGCTGTACTAGTAGCATTCCTCGCCATTATTAGACATGTACTGTGTTGGGATTCACCCCTCCTATATAAAGAGACCCTTGTCATCTTGTAAAAGAGGATCCGGATTATTATACAACATATTGAATACAATACAACATTCTTTGCTCTTTGCTAATACAGTTGTTCTTCACATTTATTGCTTATTCTTTCATTGTTCATTTATCGTTCTTCATTTATTGCTCATTATTAACCTCAAAAGGTCATCTTTGAGGCCCTCATTATCCTTGATTCTTCATCAATTGTTCATTGCTATTAGCCCCACCTAAACCTCGAGGCCCTGCTCCAGCCAGCTCGAGGCCCAGCCTTGTGATCCTATTGTTTTGTATTTCTAATTTTTTTACTTACAGTTAGCGTCTATTGCGCTACGATTAGTATTAAAATAAATCACGTATTTTTAGAACCACAAAATTAAATATAATTGTAGTTATCATTTTCAAGTTAAACACTAGTAATTCGGAATTTGCAGGCTCTGTTCGTGCCAATCTGCGGTAGCTTTTAAATGTTTCTTTCCCAACTAAAGCCAGGTACGCATTTGAGGCCTTATAACTCTAAATCCATGTGACTCTTACCAATATATGTTTGATCAGAGAAACCAATGAAACGAGGAGCAAATGAGTTTGCAAAACAGTGTTTTGTAATTAATTACCATTTTTTTAATGCATTTTTTATTTATGTAAAGTGAAAAGAGAGATGAGCTTTCATTTTTGAGCTTACTTTTTCTCGGCTTCCCTGTCTTTTGCCAATTTATGAACATAGGAGTAAAATGAAAGAAAACTTAAGCTTACTAAACCACTGAGATATGTAAAACAATGCTGCTTTCAAGACTGTATGTTCCATTTATTTGTTCTGCATCTTTGAGCAAAAATCCCGAGGGACCAGGTTTTGTTTTAGGTTTTAAGAACTCAAGTTTAGCTACCTTGAATCATAGTTCACCTTTCAGTTCTATTTCCTCTTTATTTTGGCAGATCTGCTCTTATGAGTTATGGTTGATTTTGATTTTTTGCAGATTTTGGTTGAATCAATCTGCAAAAGCGTTCAATTTTTTCTTCCAGCTAGATCTAGGTTAGCATTTGAGGCTTAAAACTCATTATTAACTGTTGCTTTTCTTGTTTACAATTGATGTTTTGTTTGATCTAGGAAACAAATAAAGAGAGAAGTGAATTTTTTTTTTCATCCTACAGTTGGTGAAAGAGATGGCTTATGCTGATCTGATTTCCCTCGAACGAACTTTGGAGCAACTGGTGCAGCAAAAGCCACATTGGATTAGTGCTGAAACAAGAAGAATGGTTGAGTCTCTCCTTGATAGTCTTGAGTATTTCCAAAACTTTCTTGAAGACACTAGCAAGAGAAGACAACATTGTGAAAAGTTTGAAGAGTTGGAGAGAGAGATCAGAAATGCAGTGAATGAAGCAGAAGATGTCATAGAACTAAAGATATATGAAATTAATGAAAGAGAGGCATTATCCAACACTTTCTTGAGGACACTTGTGCAAAAGGTTGATGCTCTAAAGAGGGAGGTGATGAGTTGTAGGTTTGGTAAATATAAAGTCCTTAACGAAACAACGGAAAATAAGGCATTACACGAAACATTTTCTCCACTTGCAGAAAAGATTGATGCTGTGAAGAGGAATGTGATGGGAAGTAGTTTTGGTACAAATGAAGTTCAAGGCTATGGTGAACCTACAAATGAGGATCCGCAAACGTGTAATTTCTTGCCTAGTCATTCATCTAGATATTGCAAAACTGAATCCAGAAAATATTGTCGTGGGTCTTAAAGATGACCTCATGAGCATCAAGAGAAGATTAATAGGGCCCCCGTCTAATCGTGATATTATCCCCATTTTGGGAATGGGGGGGGGG